TATTAACATGACAATATCAAAGAATTATTTCTCTGAAACATTTCTTTATGCATGTTGTTCACTGACTGAAGACAGTATGACAACACTTTTTTCTAGATATCTATAACTACAGCCTGAAACAATTTGCATTATATAATTAAACTTTTCCAAATTATTTAACCATACATCTTCTTAAGTTGTATAAAGAATTTGTAGTGCTTTAAAGTTGGAAATTGCCAGTCATTGTAAGAGGTTGTGGTATCTTGACCATTATAATGTTATAACTGAAAGTTTTCAGCCTTTGCCAGACAACAAGCTACTGACCATTTAACTTAAATTTTTCATATTGATGTCTCAAAAACTGATAACAGACAGTTCCAAAAATGGAAGCTAAAGATATCCATTTAACAAAATCGTAAGGATAAGGGTTAAAGCTAAATTTGAAAAGCCATAAATATATATGTATACAGACTGACCCAGACCTTATGTAACTAGACTACAGGTCATAACCTAATTATACTTTGATCTCTGTAATCCTAGAACTGTGTTAACATGGATAAATGAACAATAGATAGGAGTCATTCTATTAAGCACGATGCTATTATGTGCATACAGGAATAACAATGTTACAACATAAGTATCCCCCTGTGAGAATGTCCATTATTTAAACAAATCAATTATTTATTGATGACCTAGCCACTGCTTGTATAGGGATCAACAATTTTCATCAGTTAAGTACAGGACAAAAGATCAATGGTTATAAAAGTTAACATAGAAATTCTCTGCAGTTCTGTTTATCTTTTTTCCAATATTTTAAAGGGGCTAAACTTTACTAACAGTATGAAATAGACTGACTTAGTGCTCCATAACCTTTCAAGTTTTCTACATGTGTTGAATAAATATAAAAATTCATTGTTATCGGACACAGTGGTTTTACATATTTGCTGTTTTACATAGAATAAAAGCAAATATGGTTTATTTGATTGAAGCAATTCATTAGTATAATTTTCAGCTACAAAATTATTCTTACACAATGGATTTTATTTTTCTTTAAACAAAAACACAAAGAAATAAATAACATACATGTACTGCAAAATGTTGATAATTTGACACAGGTCTTTTTACATTTTATTTTCAAAGCATAACATTATATATGAAATAAATCAAAGACACATTATTCCTCAGAAATCAATAAATTTTTCATTCTTTCGTAAAGTCAAACATAAGTTTTACAACGTTTAAATAATGGTTTTGGAGAATTTTAAATGCTTATTTCCAGAAAAAATGTAGCGCTGAATGTGAAAGTATTTGTCAATGAAGTAGCAAAATGTAAACAAAGCAGTATCTTGACTTCCACTCAAAATACTAAATTACTAATGGCCAAAATGCAAGAGATGCAAAAGATGGCCAATGAGAAATTATTTTGGAAACTATAACAGGGCACAAAAAAACAAAGTATTTCAGAAATGAAAATAAAAGCATTTCTGGAGCATAATGGGCCTTTAATATAGATAACGCACCTTGTAACAACTCTGCCACTCTGTTTAGTAAATAATTCAAGAACTCATGTGCATCTTGTTGCATATAGTTTGTCAAATAATTCTGAAAAAGAAAATAAAAATATTCAAACTCAAATGTTCAAACATCATGAGGTAAACAATTACATCATTTAAAAGTGTAAAATAACAAGAGGGCCATGATGGCCCTGAGGTCGCTCACCTGTATATAGGCCCCCACCCCCGGCCAATTTTAACCAAGGGCTTTATTTGTTTATTTGAACAGACTTGGTAGACACCCATAAGAAGATGTTTCATGCGTAAACATCTAAGTTCTAGCTCATTGGCATTTTTTAAAAAAGATTTTTAAAGTTTTTACTATACACATATAGTTAAAAACAATGTCACCCCTGGGGCAGGGCCAGTTTTGACCCCGGGCGTTTATTTTAACAAACTTTGTAGATATTTACTTAAACATGTTTCATGCTTAATATCTAAACTCTAGCTATTTGGGTTTTTCCAAAAAAGATTTTAAATTTTTGCTATACACATATAAGGAAAATCAATGACCCCCCCCCTCCCCCCCCCCCCGACGGGGCCAGTTTTGACCCAGGGCTTTTATTTGAATATACTTGGTAGACACCCATTAGAACATGTTTCATGCTAAATATCTTAGCTCTAGCTCTTTGAGTTCTTTAAAAGAAGATTTTTTAAGTTTTTACTATATGCATAAAGGGAAAATCAATGACCCCCTGGGGCGGGGCCAATTTTGACCCCAGGGCTTTTATTTGAACAAACTTGGTAGACACTCATTAGAAGATGTTTCATGCTAAATATCTTAGCTCTAGCTCTTTGGGTTCTTTAAAAGAAGATTTTTTTAAGTTTTTACTATATGCATATAGGGAAAATCTATGACCCCCTGGGGCAGGGTCAATTTTGACCCCAGGGCTTTTATTTGAACAAATTGGTAGACATTCACTAGAAGATGTTTCATGCCAAATATCTAAGCTCTAGCTCTTATGGTTCTTAAAAAGAAGATTTTTTAAGTTTTTACTATATGCATATAGGGAAAATCAATGACCCCCTGGGGCGGGGCCAATTTTGACCCCAGGGCTTTAATTTGAACAAACTTGGTAGACACTCACTAGAAAGATGTTTCATGCTTAATATCTTAGCTCTAGCTCTTTTGGGTTCTTTAAAAGAAGATTTTTTAAGTTTTTACTATATGCATATAGGGAAAATCAAAGACCCCCTGGGTCGGGGCAAATTTTGACCCAGGGGCTTTTATTTGAACAAACTTGGTAGACATTCACTAGAAGATGTTTCATGCCAAATATCTAAGCTCTAGCTCTTACGGTTCTTTAAAAGAAGATTTTTTTAAGTTTTTACTTTATGCATATAGGGAAAAATCAATGACCCCCAGGGGCGGGGCCAATTTTGACCCCAGGGCTTTTATTTGAACAAACTTGGTAGACACTCACTAGAAGATGTTCATGCCAAATATCTAAGCTCTAGATCTTATGGTTTTTTAAAAGAAGATATTTAAAGTTTTTTCTTTTGGTTGCCATGGCAACCAGAGTTCTGCATGGAATTAAATTCTTTGAACAATTTTTAAAGGTGACCACCAAAGGAACATTCCTGTGAAGTTTGGATGAAATTGGCTCAGTGGTTTATGAGGAGATGTCATTTAAAGCAAAAGTTTACGGACGGACGGACGACGGACGGACGGACGGACGCCGGACGAAAAGCGATCACAAAAGCTCACCCTGTCACTTTGTGACAGGTGAGCTAATAAAAACATACTACAAGTTTTTAAGTAAATAGATTCTATAGAAATACATGATATTATCTATCTAATATGTTTTAAGTAAGTATCTGATAAAGAAAAATCGGATGTAGAAATGCTAAAATATATAGCTTCACATGATGTATTTCAAAGATAAAAGAACAGAATGAAGCCAAATAAAAATTTTAGAGCCCTGAATCAATATTTAATTTAAAAATAGAATATGAAGACTGGTACAGTGTAACCTAAAGTAGTAACATTTATGAAACAAGAACTGTCGGAGGACAGTAACGCTTGACTATTCGAAAAAGGTTGTCACAATGGTGTTTCATTGAGTATAGATTAATAATGCTTACCTATATGAATACATAAAATTGTCCAAAAAAAAACAAAGGCTTGTTATTAAGATGTTTTATCAAGTTAATCACTGCTTTATTATTATGAATGCATAAAATTGTTTCAAAAAAGGCATAAACCCTTCAGTAGTTATGGAGATACTTGTTACACGCAAAAATTTAACCAAGAATTTCTAAGTTGAAAAGGGGGGCATAATCAAACAAAAAAGCAAATCAAAGTTATGGGACTTGTGCCAATCATGTTAGAAAATCACAGAGAATATTCTTGTGAAGTTTCAACCCATTACCTTCAGTAGTTATGGAGATACTTGCTTACACGCAAAAACTTAACCACAGGGACGCTGACGCCGACAAATGGGTGACTACATTAGCATCGACTATTCAACATTCCTAAATCAAGTACAATTATGTAGAAAAATTATATAACATTGTAGTAAAAACAGTGACAATTCAACTTACCACATTCTTTTCTTAAGCGTGTGATGAAACGTTTTGGCGCTAAGGTTCCCACTTTTTTCTTTTGTGTGGCTATATTATAAAACAGATCGGCTAGACACGAAAGCAAAGTCTCTTTCTTTTGATTTTTTTGTTGATGTTTATACTGGAGCACTTTCTCTCGTACTGGACGGCAGAAATACAAGGCTTGTAGAACAGAATTACAGTAACATGTATTGCCAAACTGGAAGAGAAGGTAAATGTTTCAGGTATGAATCTCTGAAGACATTTTTCAAATTAACTTTCTTTGCAAATGTTTTCAATAAAGATATTTAGAATCTAAATCATAGTTACCCCTTCCAAATTAGATTTTCTGTTTGTTCATCCTTTTCAACAGCATTTTTTTTTTCACCATTTGACAATTTAACCTCATAGCTACATGTAATAATTCAGTTGAATCATAAGGCTAACATAAAGTGTATTCCGTAATTTACTATTTAAAATACATATAATTCTATTGATACAGTGATCTGTGATGTACTGGGATTTTAATGCAACATGGTTTACAACTTAAGATTATAAATGAAAACTTGAAAGCTGGAGTGTAAAGCTGCATACCTCCAGATGAGCAAAAAATCTCAAGAAAATCAAACTTATGAAAAATGTGTTATGATTTTAAGTAAGTCAAAAATATATACAATTCAAGTAATAATTTATATGTTATGTTCCATGAATGACTAATTTTGCAGTAGTTATCACCTTATTTCTGACTCACCCAGTAAAGGCTTTATTTTCATATTTTGACATTTTTTTTGTAACAAGCATGAATTTAAAATACTGTTTGCAATGTGTCAATTACTTTCTTTGTTCACTTGTCAATATTTTTATTTTTTAATACATTTTTTTACCCTTTATGAAAATTTGCATGAATTGGAAGGCATGCTGCTTTAAAGATAGTCTGTATTATTAACCCCCACCCAGAACTTACAAAATTATGACTTTTGACAGATTTCTATGTGCTAGTCTATATACTGAGTTTCAGTCTACCCTAACATTTATTTCTTAAATGAACTAAAACAATTGTCCCTAAAGTTTTTAGATATTATTAAATTTTGATATTCTGCAGTAAAACACATACAAGTGTGTAGATAAAATATTTATAATATTAAATGAAAATAGTAAGAATTATAACTCTGAATCTTACATTACAGATATCACTGGTCTTCAAGACAACCCCAGTAGTACTATACGAGTATGTATGTAGAACAAAAATATCTGGATATTTGATGCTTAATATACATGACATCAGGGCCTTATTTTAGAAAAATGATTAAATACTAGAATCTTATACACAACCTTTAAAGCTTTATTTATGTGTATGATCACCCGGCAGTTTTTTCTTTTTAGAATAACCAAAAAAAAACAGTTTATTTTTTCTCTGAAATTGAAACAGTTTGTTGGGTTTTTCAGGGGTGGCTAGCTGACAGCCTAGCTGTTGGTAATAATTTTTTTCAATGGGAATTAAGTAATAAAGTAAGAACAAATTGGCTAGCTATATATATTAACATGTATATATCATTATGTTTTTAGATACCTCAATAACATAAGCTAGAATGTCTACTTAAAACAATGCAGTCAGATTATTATAGAGTAAGACATGTAAAACAGACTGCACAGAATGTGGAAACGATTGTGAAGTTGGCATCAGTATGGTACTTTAAATGACTTATGACATTATTTCTTGATAATTTATCAGATTTTGACTATACATGTATACATTTTAGAAAAATCAAATTTACCAATAAACACTATTTTTGCAACTTTCAGAAAAAGAGAAATTAGCACTTTTTAAAATGTATAGTTGGCGGAAGAGCATTATTTAAATTGTGTTCTCATGGCAATTTCAATGAATAATTCAAGTGTGTAATGATATGTATTTTCTTACTGAAAGTGAAATAAGTAACATCAACAAAATGGTTTGGGTTGTTAGAACAAACTACACTGTAATCAACAAATAAAGGGTACATTTGCTTTTATTGCATATGTTCTAAAACATTTAATATTTTAAAGACAGTTGACATTATAATCGGTATTCACCATTTGTCTTTTTTTTTCCTATGTAGGTAATTTATACCGGCAACTTATCCATCTTTAAATCTGGACAAAATCATTCATCAGTTTTAGGAAAATTTCAAAATATATATATTGACTGAATACCAAAGAGTGCAAATCATGATCACACAGTACAGAAGTGTCAGCAGATCTTTGTCTGCATTCGCAGTGATTTTTCACCTTACATAACTGGCAGAGCTACAGATAAGCTTTTGAGTTAATTGGGTATTTACCCCTGGACTTGGCACACAATTGGGTAACACAGAAACAAATTGGGTATCATTGAAAAATTTATTTAATTGTGTAGATTAACCATAACCAGATAATGATGTATGCTTGTTAAAGCTAAAAAGAATTTCTCACAACATCCTTTAAGGCTCTGGCTTGGTAAGATAACTAAAATGTTTTGCAAGACTGCACTGATTTTTTTTTGTTCATGTTTTGCCATTATGTTTAAAGAGGTGTAACCATGCAGAAAAAACTTGACCTCAGTCTGGCCGACAATGTAATTTGTCTCTTCAAAGTATAAGCTTTTCCGTAAAAAAAACCAGTTTACTCAGCAGCTCCCCGTAAACAAATGGAAAATGAAAGTGCAGAAAGGGATACAGGCTATTTCAGATTTGTTTGGCTGTTTTCGCCAGGTGAATTAGTGTCCGAGATATTGGAAATACCCTACAGAATCAAAACAAATTGGGTACTGAGCCTTTGATTTGCTTTTTTATTTAATACTCAAAGATTTTATTTTAATTGGGTAAATTGGTCAAAATTATTGGGTAAATACCCAGATACCCTGCTTATCTGTAGCTCTGTAACTGGTGCATTTGAAAGGCCTCTTCCAAATTGAAATTTTCTTTAAAATCATGCAGTTTTCCTAACACAGTCTCTTTGAATTCCAAAATTGAAAATTTTAGTGATGGGTTTTACAAAAATCAAATGACAATTGAGAAAAATCACAGACTGGTGACTGTGAAGGGTAGATTCAGTAATTACCAGCAGTCAAAGGGTATTACAGAGGAATACAAAGAACTTACATTCACTAGACCAAAATAATGTTCATTGGCCGGCAGCTGTACTGACCCAATCTCCTTCTCCAACTGGGTGGGATTATTACCCTGAAATAAACATGTATATTATATTAGAATAATACTCAACTGATCTACAAAAATAACACAATATTTGGTTTCTCTTTTTTTTTCTTTTTTTTTTTGGAATTTGAAACTAATATGTTGAAAGGGCTGCATTTCTTCACTTGCAATCATGATACTAATTAACTATCCATTGTCATTTTTATGGTTTATTTGTTGTTTTTACCTTTTCCAGTTTATGGTTTGGACATTAAGACCGAGTCACAAAACAATTTCTTGGCAGCAACAAGTATTTGATATTTCAACTTCAAGGTATTTCAATGCAGGCTTTTTTTTCATAATTTCTGAGATTGACACATTACCTACGTAATATAAACACTTGTTAAGTTTAAATAACACATTCAGGGTTCTAAAACATACAATCAGAAAATAACCAAAATTGCTGCAAGATACCGGTATGGTCACTTTGATTAGCTGATGCCATTTGGTGATTTTACATTTATTATTATATTTTATATTAAAAATAATTTTATATACTGCAACTGTACTGTTTACATTATTTCCCTTCCTACCACTGCCAACTAAAAGGATTTTAAACATTGTTTTCACATAATTATGTTAAAGTGGATTATTTCACAAAAGGTGATTCATTTTTACTTTTGCCCATAAGCCAAAAAAATATATAAATACGCTGATTCAACAAAATAAACTGTAAAAAAATCATGTGAAACATGGTTTTATCTTTTCAAACAATTTTCATATGATGCAGCTTTGCTGCTTGACCCCAAAAGATAAATATGAAATTTTTTCCATGCAACATCATAGTAGTCAGACTATTCTGTCCCTTACCAGTTCCTCCCCTGACATCAAATTCATTGAAATATCAATCTTCATAAGAATTCTATAATGATAATATCTTGTTTCACAATTTGATAATTGTTTGCTTGCATATTATTTACAAAAATATTTTGCCTACACTATTTCCAACATTTTTCATATTGTTAGAACATAATGATATGTTCAATAAATTCCTTCATAAATTTTTTAAGGGGATAACTATCTGCATATTTCAAATGGGGGGGGGGGGGGGAGCAGTTATGGTGGAAATTGTTTGGGGAAAAACTATCAGACTATCAGGGGGAAGCTGGTAAGGGGGGGGGGGGGGGGGGAGTATGTCATTCATATAAGGAAGTGGCTGGATGTACGGCCCATACTGCTACCCAAAAGTTCTAGCTGTATGTGACTCATGTATGTCTAGCCTATATGCACTGTTGAGGATAGCCATACACTACAGCATTTTTTTAATAACAAATAAATGCAATGATGAAGTCAGTAACTCGCACGTCTTAAATTACGTTTTTACAAAGAATAATGATATAAATATATATTTTCTAAATAATTATACGCATGATATTCAACCATTTATATATGACAAGATATCAGGTATATCAATCAGAAATAAATTCACCTTTCATGCAGTTTTTCGTAAGCCGGTGTAAATTTTATGTTATTTACAAATTATAGATTTTATTAATTATTAAAAATATATTGTTATAATCTAACTGCTGTTGGAAATTTACCAACATACTTAAATGTCAAGTCTATTAATGTTTGTGATTGACCCCAGAGCAAGCTTCTGCATTCGTGAAAAACAGCTGTGCTTTATCATACACATTAATTTTCAATGCCTGCTAAAAGTGATCAAAATAAAATTTTATTACAAATGTATTACATCTATATTGTCCATAGAAATGATTTAATAATGTGTTAGTGTATTTCTTTTCGTATTTTCACACATACTTTAATTATCAAAATCTGTGATTTCCAGAGGAATAAAAACTTTTGATAATCAAATGCCAAAAATCAATATATCTACTGTAATTAGGCCATCCTTAAAAAAATGTTTGTTTGCAGTAACGCGACCAACTCACAAAATTTGCCCCTACTCACATTTTTTTTTCATGGTCTGGATAATTTTTTTTTTTTTTTTGAATCAAAAAATTATGCGTTGTGCTTTGTTTTCGTTCTTTTAAAGGTTAATAGAAGAAATAAAATGTAGTTCTTATTAAATTAGAATTCAGTTATAAATTTATTAATTGTTACCAGATTATCAAAGCATATATTGTCCAGCATTTTGAAATTCCATGTTTATTTGAGAGTACAGTTCAAAAAAAAAAAAAAAAAAAAAAAAATAAAAAATAAAAAAATCGACCTACCTACCCACATTGAAAATTCTGGGTAGGGTTACTGCAAACAAACATTTTTTTAAGGATGGCCTTAATATTAAGAGTTTTCATGTTATTCAATAAAATCTTTGTTAAGAAACACAAGTTTTCATATATTCACAATAGTTTTAATAATTTTAAAAATGCCGTACGGCTAGCCTCAACAGTGCTAATAGGCTAGTCCTACGTGACTCCTGTATGGCTAACAATATGGGACCACAGTCACTGCCGTCACATAAATAATATAAATAAGACTTGCAAAACCAGATGATTAAAATTAACATAAGAAAGCTGTCTAAATCAAACAATTATTTGTGATTTATTCATACTGATAGTCTTTACTTTTCCCTTAACTAAAGATTAGTTAGAGTCATACCATGTAAATTATACAAATGATTTTGTATATCTACTAAGTCAAATAACCACACCTCAATTTTACTTGTCTTCCCAGTAAACCAATTAGTTAAGTTTGAAAAACTACTAAAATTTGATATTCCATATGGGATTAAGCATCAGTTTATTAACTGAGTGAGGACAATATTCTCAAGCTTTAACGACAATATATGGAATGTGAAATAATTCAAAATTTCTATTTATTTTGAAACATAATTTTCATAGTGAACTTTCGCTCATAAGAAACCATTGCATATTAATTAAATCATTTATTATGAAAAGCTTCTATGTTTTTTCCTAACAAAATGTCATTAAAATTAAAGTTTGGAAGAGATGACAAAATGTTTTACTCAAGAATTTACCATTTTGTAGCAAAATTTCCAACTGTTTGCAAAATTATTCATCCACTGTCGGCCATTACAGACTGGTTTGAAAATATTTGAGAATCGGAAAGAGATAAAAACAAGTACGGATTTAAAAGCGGAAAGAGGACCATAAAGATTAGCCTACCTCGGACATTACATACCAAGCCATTTTTTGCAGACATTTCATCTCCTTTCATTTGATGAAATCTGATTAAGCCACTTCACCCCCTCATTTTTTAGTGTTTCACACACATGATGCTGAGAACTGTGAGATGTAATCAATGGTGATTAAAAATATTCATTGTTTTAACATATATTTGATATGTTATAAATGTAGACCTAATGAAATAGAAATATATCATTGTTTTTATTTTCCTGATACATTTCAAACAGCAAATACATGATATGACCATTAATGTGTGCATATTTTTTCTGTGATATTATTACAATTTTGAAATTGCAATGAAAGTTTCACTGAGTGTTTAAAATAACTTATTTTTAATTTTATCATGCGATGTAGTCTAAGTAATTGAACTACGCAATTAAATATTGTGCTGTTTTGTCTATGGCCAATATCTCTCCTCTAGACGTGAGATTCTGACCCAGAACAAACATATCTCAGAATCTAGCTCCGACACGTCAATATAGTTTGATAGTTTACTGTTTCATGCTGAAAGTCTCACATATATATTATGTACATATACTTATTTTAACATGAACACAGTTGAGACAGAGTTTAACTTTTTGATGGTGTGTCAAAGATAAAAAAAGATTAGATAATTTGTATTAAATTTTAGAGTCGGTTGAATAAAATCAATTTTCATCTATTGATAGAAGCTGTAAAATAAATTAAGATTTTAAGCACATTTCATTATGGATTATCCGATGAAATATAATACTGTCACGTGTTATATTAATTGTTCATTTTGCCGTGCACTGCTCGTCATTATGTCGCGGGAAAAGTAAACTTAATGTCCGCGCATGCGTCGTTTATTGTCATTTGTCTCCGTTATCTCTGTTATTTTCTGCTATTGTATTATACCGAATGGTTCCGTAACGTACGCCTACTGACGGATATCTACGGAAACGGCCGAAACAATTCAACTATGTCTGTATCTCGTGCAATTTTGTGACTGTTTTGTATGTCAAATCGTTTTTTACGTTGTATGAAAGAGAATTGAGAGAAAGTTTTATATTGGTTTTTAACATTTCCGTTCTTCCAAATTTCAGCGAACTTTCCTTCTCCAGATCACTTTGTCTTTATGCTCTTACGAGTTTAGATACACAATTCTACTTGCATTAATTATATCAGTTTATTTAACAGATTTTTTTTATAGGAAATAACTTATTATTAAGTTATTTACTTTTGTATTGAGACGTTGTGGTTAGATTTTTTTCATTTTATTCATTTACTTGAAACAGTTCTTATTTGCATCGGTCAATTGTTCTATTGTTGTATTTTATGTTTGTTTAAATTAACTTGTGTTATAATCATGTATTTAGGCTTTTTCCTCGTATATACACGAAGCTAAATATACATTAAATTTTGCATACAGGTGTATTTTTAGGTATATATCTGACCTATGATGTCATTTTTTCAGTTCCTTATAGTGCCGTTAGGGTAGTCATACCTAAATTGACGAACCTACGCCAGGAATTTTTTCATTTATTCTACCCTTTGGCTATACAAAACTTGCAAATATCACACTACCAGCAAATATCACAGTATAATACAACATACTCGAATTTCATTTTATGTACACTTAACCTAATAATCAAAATTAAAACAAAAATGGAAAAGAGCAATCAGTCATATTTCAGTACTAAGACTGGCCCAAAGACCAACCCAATATGTTGCTTGAGCATATATCAGTAGAAGCAATCTGATACATAGTCAACCATAAAAATGTGAATAATAAAATAAACATGTACATGGATAAAAATAAAATTTGAAGTTTGTGTGGAAGTAGCTTATCTTGAACTGAAAATTATCCAACAAAGTGGATTTTACTAAATATTCTGGCGACGTACACTGGATGTAATCGTGTTTTGAGTCAAAACAAAATCAGAGAAAATAAACGGACATAAGAAAACTTCTATTTCTCAGCTCATATGACAATAATTTGCCCTGGGTTTGATTTTATATTTCTTATACTACATGCAAAATATTAAGTACTTTCAAGTAACAAGAAGAAAAAAATAGGGTTTGATGTAGATCTACAGGTCTTTTGTAAAAATAAAAAACAACAACAAAAACACAGTTCTTCACGAGATACATCATTTCCCAGGTATAAAACAATCTTGTTTCTTTACGTGTCTCGTGCATAATGAAATGGGTTCTTCCGTCTCAGCACTATTATCAAGTGTCTTTTCGTGCTTTAAGTTCTGTTCAAGCAGAAACCAGTCAACTTAGCTTTTCATTGCGCATGTCAAATTCTCTTTCTTTTTCCGGTCGGCCAAGGCAAGGTGTGCGATGTGAATAACGTGTTATTTCTTTAAAATAAAGTCTTGTAACAAATTTTATTTTCAGAACACCATTTTTATTTATCATGATGGAACTATCACATTTCAAATAATTTGATTACGTTGAATGAATCGGCTGTAATGAATTAAAACAACCATGTATTCTTGGATACCACATGATATTGTCTCCCTTGCCTCACATGTTACTTATATTCGTCATTATTTCACATGCCATGTTTCATCGTGTCAGGCAAGAGGATTATGATGGGCATGGTTTAACTTGTGACACATAACATTTTGGTTTAGCATTAATATAACATAGTGCATGGTTCACTAATTGGCATACGGTAAATTTATAGATCTATCAGTTTTTCTCTAAAGGAAGTGGTTAGCCGTATGACTAGCCAAAAGTTCTAGCCGTAAGTGAGTCGCGTAAGCCTAGGCCGGACACACTGTATTGGCTAGGGGTACGGCACTTTTCAAAATTATATGGAAGTCGAAAATGCATGTGTTATTTTGTGTCTTTAAAGTTAAACAAGGATTTTAACCAAGAACAGCAGTTGTCTTCGTATGTTTACTTTTTAGAGATTAATTGCAATGGCTACAGTAAAGAAAGTACGATTATCTATCTTTGTCATCTCCTGATGGCGAGAAAAAAGAGCGTTTGTTTGCAGTTGAATAACATCAATTAAAATAGTCTTAGACTACAAAATTGTGATTATATCCTTTTTTGTTTTCAATAAAATTTTCAACACCTTTAAAAATGAAAAAAAGCACCGAAAATAACTGTTGTTGAGCTGTGATAATTGCGTCAATTACTGAAGTAGAAGTTTGTCTATCATTAAGGAATTTAAAAGTTTGCATGTTCCGTGAAATGCATTCTAAAATTATATTGTCAGTCCCTGGATAGGCTTTGATTACTAAATTTACTTGAGGCTACTTGATTGGGCCATCCTTAAAAAAATGTTTGTTTGCAGTAACCCGACCCAGAATTTTCAAGGTGGGTAGGTAGGTCGATTTTTTTTTTTTATTGAACTGTTCTCCCAAATAAACATGGAATTTCAAAATGCTGGACAATATATGCTTTGATAATCTGGTAACAATTAATAAATTGATAACTGAATTCTAATTTAATAAGCCCTACATTTTATTTCTTCTATTAACCTTTAAAAGAACGAAAACAAAGCACAAGGCATAATTTTCTGATTCAAAAAAAATAATTTTTTATTCAGACCATGAAAAAAAATTTTGAGTAGGGGCAAATTTTGTGAGTTGGTCGCGTTACTGCAAACAAACATTTTTTTATGGATGGCCTTGTGCTTTTATGTTTTGGTATTTATCTACTGTATTTATTTATTTATACTCCGATCCTACCGTTATGAAAAAACTTCTTTTGCCGTTATGATTATTTATTTGATCCATGGGCTTAATTATAAAAGCTTCTTTTGCCGTTATGAATATGATTATTTATTTGATCCATGTGCTTAATTATAAAAACATGATTAAAATTCATCTTTCACACAAATAAAACAACAAATCATAAGCATAAAAAACAACGATAATGACACTTTTATCAAGATTACAATGCTTGCATTACCTTAATTCATTTTTTTAACAAAATGGCGGAGCATCTTTATTTAAGTGAACACCTGAGGACAAATGCGGGCTTGGTAAAAATCCTAGTTTAAAGACACAAAATAACATTTGCATTTTCGACTCTCGTATGATTTTGAAAAGTGCTGTACAGTTAGACAATACAGTGTGTCAGTGTCTATTCTAGGACGCGCGATTGCGCGATTCACGCTAGTATTTAACAGATCGCGCACAATTCAAAATCATGTGCGTGAAAATCGCGCATCTATAAAAAAAGTTAATAAAACCGTAAAACTTCCATCCCGCATTATATTTGGTTGTTTTGTTTACATTTACACCGAAAACCGAAGGGAGGTAACTGTAAGCTAATTATAATAATTTAGTACCGTATGGTACTGGTTACGTGAGTTGACGGAAATTAACGGAATGTTCCGTATCAACCGGAACTAGTGTTAGCAACCCCAGCTTATCACTGATAAGCCTACTAATTAGCCTGGAAATACACAAGAATCTGGTACCAGTTGGATACTTTTTCTCACTAATAAATAACTAATTATCTGATCAAGATGAAATAAAAACAGTTTGAAAGCTAATAAAATTGCCTTTAATTTGCATATTTTCTTTGTTGTTTTAATCCCATGTTATCTGATTTATGACCTTGTTTATCAGCAGTGTGCTGTTAATTGGGGCCAGATTGGAATAAACAATAAACATGCCACTGGCGCGTGATAGGCATCAGCTTTGATAGCGAATGCGAGGGGTTTAAAAGCTATGAATATTAATGATTTTAAATTATCCAATCAGAAAAGTGGTTTCTGGGCAATTTACCGTTTGTTGCATATTCGTATCATGTTTCTACGCAAAGTTATAGTCCCTCGAAGTTAAAGCATTTTTTCTCATTTAATACACATTTTTTTCAAATGCAACACATATATTCATAAAATTTAAGTTCTAAATTTTATTTTGATACCAAAATCAGCTTTCGGAAATGAAAATTACCCGGTCGCATGTGCTGACGAAAAATGCAGTTTTTGAAACTTCCCGAGGTCACGCACTCTGACCTACGAGCGGCCATTTTGATTTCGCTTGTTTACCGACATCGTATAGAAAAATGACCAATAAAGTTGGAAAATTAAACATTTTCGTATCTCAAACAAATAAAAAAGACATTGTTATTGATAAAGAAATATGTTTGGTGAGTAAAAGTATTTTTATTTAACTTATTTTATTGAAATCGGGCGATAATTTGATTTCCTTTACGCAGGCCACGGAGTGTACGAAAGATCGAATTTTTTTTAACTAGTTCGCCGATAATTCTGCTCTATTTTTAGCGAAAACACCATTAAAGTTGTAGAATTTGATTTATTTGATAATTGTTTATAAAATATTTTCAATTAAAATGTTTTTTATTTGTATTTTGTACATTTAAACCTCGCCAGACCAATTTTTTTATCGGGTAGTTTCGTCCCTTTCCGATTCGTACTTTTTCGGCATAAATTATGTAAAAGGCTTACATTTAATTACTTAAGTTTAATATGTTACAAATCAATAGTCAATTACCTGTTGTTAATCTTTTGGAGTTTAATGTTGATTTAATAGATTTAATTAAACTTTTATTCATAAGTTACAAACTTATGTATGCCAGTTAGGGCTATTTATACACTTAGAATTTTAGAGAAATATATCTGAATTTTAATGTCATTAAATGCACAGCCATTTTAAAAAATTAACATATATATATTTAAATCATTATTTTAATTTTTTTTCATTTTCAGATTCAGCATGGCTGACAAATACCCTGGTCCATTTTGTGAGCTTCACAATATAACTAAATCTGATTTACAACAAGGACACATAACTAAACCTGCCCAACCATTGTTAAATGGCATAGTTATTGAAATCAGTCATTACTTAGTAACATTGGGACACAATTCAAATGATTTATACAACATCTTAGTACAATTAGATCCTCTGTTACAATCTGTGTCAGTGAAAAGTCTGAAGGTTAAAGTTACACGGATATGTGAACAAAAGAAGAAATTATCTCATAAGAAAAAGGTGATTGGTGTGAAAAATGTCAGTGACTTATTAAATGCGACCTTTAGTCCGCCCACTGTGAAAGTTGTTGGAGAAATTCAATCTCTTGCATCAGTTAATGACAATTCTGACCTGAATTTAAACAAAACAATTGAAAAAATTGAGAAAATATCTGTGAGTGACAAACTATCATGCAAAACAGTGTCTACCCAGACAGGTGCCTCGGATAATAACAATTTGAGTAAGGCAACAAACTTACTTCAGTATGAAAATTCTAAGCTACAAAAGCAAAGCATATCAATATCTAAGAAAATACAAGAGCAGAAAGATCAATTGAATGAGATTGAGAGAAGAATTGGCCATTTTTCAGTGCGAAATATTAACAAGAGAGACGAAACTCAAAAAAAAATCTTCATGCATTGCGTAATGCACAAAGATTAGTTCTAAAGCAAGACAGACAGCTTGCATACACAAAAGAAAAACTTAAAAATGCTGAACTGCAATGTGAAAATATTGAAAAAGACAGTTTTCTGATGTATATTTCTAATGTCGAACTGTATGAATGTGTTGAACTGTTTATTGACTCCAACAAGTACATTGTGAAAATTGTATTTATTATTAATAATTGTGTAAATACATGTAGTAATTAAGTGTATATTTCAAAATCAAATGATATGCATTTTTTTCAGCAAGTAAATATGACAGTAGATTTCAGTGTATTTTTATGTTCATGATGAACTTCATCAATCAAAATTTGAAATTTGATTTGTATTCTGTGTTGTACATATATTTAAGTAATCATTTAGTACAAAGGCTGTTTATGTTTATTGGATATTATAAACATTATATGTTTTGATGTAAATAAAAGTAATTGGTCAATGTTTTCAATGTATCCTTGATTATATATGATTAACTAACACCTGCTATCGCATTATGTGTTATACATGTATATGTTTATAAATGATGTATTTCTCGATTATTAAAAGTTTGTATATGACTCAATTGTTGTGGCTGTCTTTTGTAAAGGAATGGAAAAACATGGTAGTTATAAATACACCATTAAATGGGTTCCTGTGTGATCTAGCCATGTTCCAAATTTCATTAAGATATCTTAAAAAATAAAAAAGTTATGGCAATTTTACTGTTTGTAAAAAGACATATTTTCATTCCGCGGTGCCGCGTTCGCGAGATATTTATTTTCATATTATATAGTGGAAATTTTCAAGAAAATTGCGGTTTTAGCAAAATTTCAAATTGTCATAACTTTTTTATTTTTCAAGATATTTTAAAAAGGGAAACAGTTCTGAAAAGCTCTAATTAAGACCTATACAACTGTCATTATAAAATAACATTTTAAAAATGTTCAAAAATCAGCTGGGGTTGCTACTAGTGTGCTAGGTCTGACAGTTGGGCGCCATTTTAGTGTAGTAAATAATCAAGAAAAATGAGGCAATTCCTAGCTTGGCTACGATCTAGACGTGAAAGATAGTTCGATTATTTGTATTGCCAATCCCTTTATAATCAATCGCGGCAGTTCTGTAATAATTTGTTTTCGTTTAAAAATTAAGGGGGGGACAACTTCTGCTGCCTTAAATAAATATTATCGTTTTAATTATTTCATCGGTTGAACGCCTCAGTGTAAACTTAATGCAGACGATTTAACATTGGCAGTTTATATTGGCACCCTTTGATTTTGAAAATCGCCCCCTTTTTTGAAATAGAGGGGGGAAAATCACCCCTATTTTTCAATTCCTAGAATAAACACTGGTGTGTCCTGGCTAGTCGTATGTGACTCAGGTACGGCTAGAACTTTTGGCTAGCTATACGGCTAGCCACTTCCTTCTCTAAATTTTAAGATTATGTGGGGTACTTTACCGTTACTAACAATTCTTTTGTGTTATATATTTATATATATTTTATCTCTTTCAGAAATAAGGCAAAATGACCAACACAAAGGGTTATCGCCGTGGAACACGGTATATGTTCTCCCGCAAATTCAGGAAACATGGACCAATTCCACTCTCAACATACATGAAAGTGTACAAACGTGGCGATATTGTTGATGTCAAGGTAAGAACAGCTTTTTAATTAATTAAAGTTATGTAATAGCAGTTTTTGCCTTCTTTACATGGTTAACAAAATTTTACTCCTAGTGCCTTATTACGTAATTGCTACATTTTGGAGGAAAAAAACAAGACATAAAAAATGGCTGTCAAAACAAATTTTGTTAGAAATATTAACCAATACAGAAATGTTTTGTGTAAGTAACTTAAATGTGGAGTAAAATTTTGTTATTTTAATATTATTTTATATTTCTGATGAATTTGAAAGATATTTATATAAAAAATACGACTGGGTGAAAAGAAGACAACTTTGAAACAAGATGTATACAAATGACGGGTCTGGTGACAATTTGGGCCGTGTCCGTGAAAACAATAAGAACAAATACTGTATCTACATGCAGCAATTTTAGAATAAAATAATTGTTATGCTCATCTCCTACAGAAATGGAGCTAACCAGTTGCAAATTTTTAGAATAAAGATCAACATTGTAATCAAAGTATACAAAATCGAGTTTGATATAAAGAGTTTGATATGAAAAAAATATAGTAATCATGCTATTGATTTTATTTTAACAGGGCAATGGCGCTATACAAAAGGGTATGCCATTTAAAGTTTATCACGGTAAAACTGGCCGAGTGTTCAATGTCACCCAACATGCTGTAGGTGTGATTGTCAACAAACAAGTTGGGTATGTAGTTCCACTGTTCCAGTAATTTCTAATTATATCTTAATCTGTTATTTTGACATAATTGTACAGATTTTTATGCACCTTTTTCAATATTAATTTTCAAAGGACTTCTATTAAACCATAGGGAATGTTATCAGTATGACAGATATAAGGAAGCGAATTTTGTTAAATTCATGTTAACTTATATATGAATATACTAATATAAACTAAAATTATGCTACCGTATTTGAAAAAAAACTAAATGTATAAATAATTTCTTAATGGTTTATAGATATGTCTAGTCAAGTTTGTGAGATAAAAGCCAAACCACATGAAATATACAATCAAGCCTGTGTTTGAAATGTATTCTGTCTTCCACTGAAAAAAGATGTATATAGCACATTGTCATGCAAGAAATTAAAGAGCATGTATTTTAAAATGTATTGATCTTTTAGTATTCATGTTTAAATAATTATGAAAAGAAATAAAGAAGTTCGGACAATATTTTTTTCTTTGATTTTAGAAATCGCATCATCCCAAAGAGAATCAATGTGAGAATTGAGCATGTGAAACACTCTAACTGCCGTCTGGACTTCCTTCGACGTGTAAAAGAAAACCGTGCAAAGCAGCAGGAAGCCAAGACCAGTGGAAAATGGGTTAATCTGAAGAGACAGGTATAGACCATTTCAAACTTCAGCAGAAATTTTTTGTCTGTCTTGAAAAAGGAAACTTTAGTCTGTTTAAAGATAGGTTGATCCTATTTCTCACACCAGATAAACAACAGAGTAAATCTCTTTTGTAAATGCATTGAAATTGCTCTTCCCACTGTGCTAGTGTGTCACTGAATTTAAGTGTCAACAGACATACAGTGTTCGCCTATATTTATTTGTAAACTCTGCATTGAATATCAAAAATCGAAGAATGCTATACCTTGTAGATTTGATTAAAGTTTTCATGAAACATGAAGTTAAAGAAAACCTGTATTAAGTATAGTTGTGGCATTGTTTTCTATTTAGCGAATTAGCATTGAAAATGGACGGTTTTATCATAAAAGAATTTCTGCTGCTTCAAATTTTAATTTTGCAACAATCCAGATTAAAAACAAATATAATTATATGATGTCGTGTTGAAGGATTAAAACATTTTTCTGTAGAACTTGGAACTTGTTGCAAAAACCTTTTAAAAAATGGTCTACCGTAAAAGTTTTAAAGTGTTCAAGAAGAAGTCGGGAATTCTTGTAAATAGAATTTATGAAACCTTGTTGATCCTACATGTATGTTGCAAGTTTGATCATTTGATGACAGTACTGCACATTAAAGTTGTTTTAGTGCATATAAGTTGGTATAATAAACTAGTATTTACATGTTTAACTGTTATGTACTTAGCACAATAACTTATGTTTTGTTTATTCTCTCATTTCAGCCTGCAGGAAGACGCCCAGCCCATTTTGTTAAAACCAAGTTCAACAAACTTGAAATACTGCAGCCAATTCCTTATGAATTTATTGCATAAATTGTTCATGTCCTTGGTAAAATAAAGAAAAAAAACCTTAAAAGTTCTGTGTGACTTTATTTCTTAGCATTCTTCATGAGTAATTGGCGTTTCCTGAATAGCAGATAGTTAGATGACATGGGGCTCTGGGCAACAGACATGCCTCCAGTGATTAAGGTCAATAAACCCAAGCAACTGGCCCTTCCTAATCGGGAATTCTACCAGAAATTTGGATACTGTCATACGATTTTGCTGTCCAGCTTGCTTACAAAACATTAGTGGTTCTACTCAGATGCCTGTTGTGCAAAATGCAAAAATGCATGTAGGGGCACCCATGGTCTTCCTGCACCAGTAATGACTTAGTGTTGCAAGAAAAAAACCAACAAGAAATATAATATGAAACACAAACTTGCAAAATCTATGAAGGCTAATAAATGCAAATAGTTTTTTCTCTTGCAAATGTACACTTGAATTGATGCTTATTATAAATAAAGTAAAACTGATCAGTGTTATTTAAAGATAGATAGTTAATCAAACATGTATTAGAAATCTATAGATACAGATCCGCATTTTCGGTTTTTGCAAGAAATAAGTGAAAGAAAAAGTTCAGTTCTTAACTGATCCTTTAAATTCTGCAATAGTACAGATTGGCTGGCCTGTCAAAAGCTTGAAACTGTAGGAATGTACTTATTTCCACCAATATTTCCTTAACCTTTTCTGCATCGTCCTTGTTTACCCACCCCCCAAGTTTGGGGGATATATAGGCGGTCTAGTGGTCCGTTGCATTTTCCTTGTTATAGAGTGATTGCCCTTTGTTACTTTTCCTTGTTGCAAAGCATAACATACAATGTAAGATCTACTGGTTGGAATTCATACAATGGTCAAGTATATTGAGAGGAAGTGCAGTGCACAGAAACAATAACTCTTTCTTGACTCATTTAAGAGTTTTTGTCCTTTGTTTATGTTACTTTTTAGCTCACCTGTCACAAAGTGACAGTGTGAGCTTTTGTGATCGCTTTTCGTCCGTCCGTAAACTTTTACTTTAAATGACATCTCCTCATAAACCACTAAGCCAATTTCATCCAAACTTCACAGGAATGCTCCTTTGGTGGTCACCTTTAAAAATTGTTCAAAGAATTTAATTCCATGCAGAACTCGGGTTGCCATGGCAACCGAAAGAAAAAACTTTAAATATCTTCTTTAAAAAAAACCTATGAGCTAGAGCTTAGATATTTGGCATGAAACATCTTCTAGTGAGTGTCTACCAAGTTTGATCAAATAAAAGCCCTGGGGTCAAAATTGGCCCCGCACCAAGGGGTAATTGATTTTCCCTATATGCACATAGTAAAAACTTAAAAAATCTTCTTTTAAAGAACTCAAAGAGCTAGAGCTAAGATATTAAGCATGAAACATGTTCTAATGGGTGTCTACCAAGTTTGTTCAAATAAAAGCCCTGGGGTCAAAATTGGCCCCGCCCCAGGGGGTCATTGATTTTCCTTATATG